AAAGAACATTGCGTCACAATATGGTACATGTATGTAGTAAAATTCTAACCTGAGATCCAAGAATCGTAAAACCTCCGAAAAAGTTATAGTCACGTGGTGCAGCTATATGCATTGATCCTCCCTTTCCCTTTACGCATCCCGTCGTGCGACCTGATTTTTTTAGTAAAAAGACGACAAATCACTGGGAAATGTATATGAAAGAGAGATTGCGAGATTGATACACGGAATGTCAACTAACAAATAAATAGCAATAAACAAGTGTGTTTGTTAAATGTTAAATTTCCGCTAAGATGCTTCGAAGCGTCATGCCCCTGGCGTAACCATAACCATGCGCACGGTAAGTTGTCACTATTGGGTCATCCAGCTTAAGTGCAGATATAATTCCAATGCAACAAGCTTCCTAATACAAAAAGAATGTGAATGAGCGTTGCACAGTAAACACAAGAATTACAAACGTCACGAATATTCAGTCGAGACTGCAATGCCTTCTCGTACAAATGATATAATATTGTCATTATAAGTTACAGTTTTTGTTACATTATAACGCAATCTAATTGAATATAAGGCATTTACTACGTATACCTGTCCCGTCTGTGTATGAACAGTTCCAGAAATCAGATCCTTTTCCTTCTTTAATTCAAAAAGTATCGTTCCGAGCATCCGAATTGTTTTCATCTGTTTGTAGAATTTCAGTCCTTCATCTCTATTCAATAATACATCAGTTGCTGGTCCTTTCTGAAGCTTGTGAAGATGACATTCCTTGAAAATTCAGTAATAGCATTGAAATATATCATTAGATGTAAGGATAAATGTTTGTGATAGGTATGGTAGTGATAATAATAACAAAAAATAGTCCCATATACAGAATATTTCTCGTTAACTGTCAGAAATATATCCTATCCAGTATTCGAACTTGCATAATGTGAAGGATCATCGGTATACTGACCTTGACTCTGAATGTGGCACACTGTGTACCATATGCTTGACCACCCTGATGTGTTGCTGATGCACGATGAAATGTACGCTGTATGAAATATTTCGCATTAATGTTCATTATTATGCTATCGCTTGATAATAGGAAGTGCGTCGTACTCTATACCCCAATTGATAATATTGTTAAGGCGGCTGTTCGAATTATTTGCTCATACACAACATGTGCTGCATAACATAAACTACATCCGTAATATTTCTACAAATGAACAGATGTAGTACCTATTGTACTGTGCTAGAGCGTGTAACTATAATTCTCTTGTGAGCGAGTTAATAGTTTATTATAAGCGATTGTTCCACTAATAATATGATGTGCAGAGTAGCGCATTAACAGCTCCATTTTTTTTTCTTTCTTTTTTCTCTCAATTTTTTTTTATTATTATTATTTTATTTTACTTATTTATTTCTGGAGATTTTGTTTTTTGTTTGTATGTGTATATGTGTGTGCACGTGTATATACGTGTATATATATATATATATTGGTTAGGATTGGGCCACAGACTAGATTAGTTCGGATGAACTACCTCTGTGGTCCACACCAAGAAATTATTATTATTATTATTATTATAAGATTACTAGAATTGTTATTATTATTGGTGAAAAATAAATCATAAAATAAATAAATAAATTAAATAAGCCACAATTCTTAATATCACACTAACCTGCTGTTTGCGCAAAAAAACGTCGCCAAATATACATCATAATAGACATCATCCACATCACCGGTACCTGTGATATGAAAATCAATACGTTAATTATTCGCCGTCGAGAAAAAACATAGGCATAACATTTTCAGAATAAAATTGAGTATTTCACTAGTATATATTTAATAAGAAATGTCTCAGTACTCTATACTTCAAATAGTTTTTGAATATATAATGAGCAACTTTGAAACAATATTCTCGTTTGTTCAATGGGTCTCGAAAGCATACTTTTGTTTTGTTCAACGGGTCTCAAAAGCTTACTTTCAATAGATCGCAGAGAAGCGGCTGCTCTGCTATATTTTGTTTTTGTGTCCAGGGGTGCCGAAACATGGGATAGCTGGTGTTATATACATGATATCTCTCAGCGTAATCAGGTTAGCAGTAAAAACTATACGCGTTGTTCGTAACTATCGTCCTTAGATTCGCT